TTCGTACGAGGCCACCGTACGATTCTCGGCGGGTTTTCCAGCCTGCTTGTTCAACGGAAGACGTGCGACCGTACAGTAGAAACGGTCACACTCCTTCCATACACTGCACGATTCTTGTACGATCGCGGGATTTCTGTACGAGAATCGTGCAGTGTATGGGCACCTTAAGAGTTAGGACCACACTACACAGAGGGGCCTTGATGAGGCAAAATGGCTTTCACGTGCTTTGCAAAAGTTATGAGACAGTGTAAGCTTTTTTGCATGTTGGCTAGTAAGGGTGCTGGGAGATGTTTGCATTTGTACTGTATAGCTCAGTATGCATCTGAGTGTGCAGGGGAGGTTGTGCTGCAAGATAAGATATTTTATACCTTGTAGCAGCCCTCTGCACATAAATACAGCTTTTAAATGATCATTTACTCATCCAGTGCACTGTGCAAATCTCTATTCTGCCCGGAGTGTGGCTTTAAAGATGATCTCCAAGCAAACAGCTGAATATACAGAAACATACATATACTAGAGCTATTGTATCTGCCAAAGGATTTGCGTTTCTGTCTATTCAGTTCAGTGATATTTACAAAGTTCTGTCACACAGCACAGCCCCATCTGGCAGGCCTGAGACCTTATTTTTCTCTGTTGGAGTTAAAGTGTATTTCCACTTTTGCAGCCACTTTGGGATAACACCTATTTTATATTTGTTCCTATTCACATAAACATTAAGCATAAACATGATGTTTACTCTAATTAACCCTGTCTGTACTGTGCTGGCAGGTTTCATTATCAGTTGTAAACTAAATTTGAACAATGTCCATCCTAACAAAGGGTTAAAGACTATCAGGGTTATTCACAAAAGGGTGAAGAGTTGGCAGAAGACAGGAGAAGGGAACAATCTAGGACAACATATCTGATCTGGAAAGTGAGCTGAATTGGAGAATTTTCCCAAATCAGCAATGTTGTCCTAGATTGTTCCCTTCTCCTGTCTTCTCCCAACTCTTCACCCTTTTGTGAATAACCCTGTTAGAACTTGGAAGCATTGTATGTTAATGAGGGGAAGCTCAGTCTGACCCTAAAATATTTTTTGGTATGCTGTGTGAATTGAAACATAAACATATAGAGGGGGGGTTCTCAAATTTGTCTGCAAAAGTGGAACTACAATTTAAGGAAGTCAAAGGGAGAGTCTTTAAGGAAAGTTTTGTCCCTCCTCCACCCCGGTATTGGACAGTGAAAGAAGAAGCAGCAGACCGATGAGCTCATTGATGAGCACTTGCTCTCTCCTCTTATACACACGTTCCTGCAGCACACCTGTTTGGCTCTTTATTCCGCTTCTCCTCCCCCAGTCTGAGCTCTGCTGTAGAGGGCCTGTAAGAGGCGAATAGGAAGTCTAATTCAGGTAATCACACTACTTGAATTTAAAGAAAGCATTTAATGATGTAATAAATTCAGAGCTTCATTAATCCTATATCTGCCTGCAGTTCAGCTTAAATAACAGCTGCTAAATATTTTGAAAATCATCTATTCGCAGCATTTCTTTGTCAAACATAAATAATCACATTTTGATGAAATTCTGCTTCCAGTAACATGAGTTCTGTTATTTGTTATCATGTTGTCTGACAGGTGCTTTGTGAATCTAGCTCATTGTTTATGTACAGGGTATGCTGTCCCTGGTGGCTCTTGAACACAATATTAGTTAGTCATACACTGAGCACCACGCACTCATCAGTTTAATAATGAGCACACCAGATCCCTCTCTCATATGGCTCAGAAGGTGTGTGGGTGGAAAACACAACACTTGAATGTCTATGTCAATAAGGTGCAGGGTAGATGTTTGTCTGCTCTGTAAAATGATTGCCTCTATCTGTGCACAGCTGGGTATGTTAAAGTGCAACTCTAGCTATAAACCAAACCCTGATAACCCTTGTGCTCATCCTCCTGTTAACATTTCTAAATAAAAAATGACAGAGCTCAGACATACTGATTTTAACTTCCACAACTGACCTAAGGCCAGAAGTGATATTTGTTGCGTCCCATACTTCTGAAGCCCATTCTAAAAGGCCATTCCCATTATTCTCTATTGCCAGGCCCCATGCAGCTCAGACCTAATGAGTGATCATTAGGATGATGTAAATAATGCAGCGAATAGAAACATGTGCTTGCACCTGTAATCTGTCATTTTATTAAAGCCTATCTCTGAACTACCCCTGCACTGCAAGGGTAAATGCCCATTTAGGGGTATTATAAGAGGTCCTTAACTGACCTGATCCCCGCACCCCTGGAAGTCGGAGCTCACCTCAATCCCCTACGCTCCATCTTGTGGACTGTAAAACTAGAAATAAATGGTAACCGCACAATTTATAACCAGCCATTGTAGCAAGGTGCACATGGGAAGGCTTAAAACAATACAAAACACAAGAAAGTGCCCAGCACACTTGCCAGCGAGCCTGCAACAAAAAAGATTACCCTGTCTAACAGTATGCGTTAAAAGCAGAGGTTTTAGTTACACAAACCTTTGGCCAAAAATATCTAGGAGCCACACTGCCCCGTCAAGGCTCCTCTGTGTCCCTCGCCATCCTTATGTATAATGCAAGTTTTGAGCTCTGCATTGTACTTGATGGTCTGAGTGGGTCTCAGACTGCAGCAGCACGAGGAGGGGGGGGAAGATGCTACGTGCACCAGTCTTGGAGCCTGAAGGAGCGGGGATCAGGTAAGTTAAAGTCCTTTATACAGGTCCCCTAGGCACAAAAGAGCAGCTTACCCTTGTAGTGGGACCACCCCTACACTGCAAGGGTTAGTTGCTAATTTATGTCTAGAGGTATTGTGAAGGGGTCTTTTACTGACAAAATCCCCACACCCCCGGAAGTTGGTGCTCACCTCTATGTCTTACGCTCCAGCTTGTGGACTGTCCCTTGGCAGAGTCACGTATAATGCAGGTTTTAAGCCCTGCAATGTACAGGATGATGTGAGAGTCTCAGACCACCGCAGCCCAGCAGGGAAGGGGCTGTGGGTGCTGGTCTTGGAGTCTGAGGGAGTGGGGATCAGGTAAAAGTCTGCTACACAGGTTCCCTATATAAAAACGAGCAGTTAACCCTTGCAAAAAGGCTACCCTGGACTGCAAGGGTTAATTGCTCGTTTTTGTCCATGGAACCTGTGTAGAAGACTTTTACTTACCTTACTTTTTTTCCTGGAAATTGGTTTTAAGTACTGTTCACTGGATAGTGAGGAGATGGTTTACAAAGCTTTGCTGATTATTGTGCTCGCATTTTAAATCAGTATTACAAGTAGTTAATATTGTATAAAGATTTGGTGCAGGAAAAAAAAATGTCGGCAAATATAGAGTTGCCACCTGGCCAGTATTTACCAGCCTAGCTTGTAAAAACTTATTGCCAATATTTTTAATAGGAAAAATGTTGTAAGGACAGTATTTTGTCACAGAAAAGCTGTGTACAGTCAGTACTATAGCAAGAGGATATAAGAAAGTAAAAATGGCCTAATACACACAAGAAAACACCGGGACAGAATTTTTGTAAGATCAAACTTCTTACACAAGTAACTGTGCTCACCTGTTTAAAAGAATCTGCAAACAAATGTCTATGTTATCTATAGCAAGCCAGGGGTATCATAGGGCACAAGCGGGTCCAGGGAAATCATTAAATGATTATTCCCATGAAGGAACATCAGCATCCAATAAGGGTGGCTGGGTAAGTCTGGGTAACAGTAAACAGGTTTATATACAGTATCTCCTTGAATTCCTCTTTGTGTGTTTTTACCTCTTGGCATTTTGTAAGAACAAGACCATTACCCAGTCAGAGCACAGAAAGTCTAAGAAGTTTCCTGCGGGATTTGGTTTAGGTTAAAGCTGTTCTTTGAAATGCAAGTCATTATATGGTGTGATAATTAGCACCACACTGAACTTTGTTTTCATAATTTATGGCGACCTTGTCTTCCTAGAACATTGTTTTATGTTCTATTTTAGGACACTATCAAGTTCCATAAGTAACAAATCCAGCGGCCCCCTTCCTAATGAATCCTCTTTGGCCTGATTATAGAACAGCCCTATAGAACCAAATAACTGAAATTTTCTTAAGAAACATTTCAGGTACTTCATACATGAGGGACTAAACTTTTTACAAATGTTCAGGGGAAATTTTACACTTTAGCCGAAATCTACAGACAACTCAATATTTATAAGCCATGTGACCTTTCCAACTGTAATCCGGTAATTGAGGTCAACATGAAAATGAGAGTAAGTTTATGTAAGCACTGGAAATGCTCATTATTGTGCATAGATATTCTGGAACATATTAGAAAACCAAACAAATAAACAAGACTAGACTCTGCTCTCAGACTGGATTCTACCAGCCGCAGTGCTCATTGTCCAACAGGCATGTCTCACTCCCGAATTGCATCCACCATGTATAGAAACAGGCCATACCACTGCTATGTTCTTTTTCATTAAAACATTATTTTTCCCTAGCATTACCCTTCCGCCAGACACATGCTTTGACTCTGACGTGTCTCATTCCAACTGAGAACTTAGTCAAAGAGGACAGAGTGAAGTTAAGTAATAGTGCGCCCCATTTCTATGCATAGTAAATGTAAAAAAAACACATCAAAGGATTCTTTCTGCATAAAAAAGGGAACAATTGTTTAATGCTGGCCATAACGATAAACAACTGATTAATCATAGATGCAGTTGTTCTAAACAAAGTGTGAACTTGAAATAATTTTTAAGCACAACCAAATAAATTCGATTGAATTCCAGTTCATTTTTTGTAGAGCTAATTTCCTTTTTTTAAATTTAAATGATTGCTTATTAATTAAAACAATTGTTTAGTGCAATTGATTATATGTGATGCAATGATTTCAAATAAATGAATGTTATAGTCCCCAATTCTGTTGTTACAAGTATGGCTAACACAATGTATACTTGATGTAAACATTACCAAAGTTGATTACAAATAAGTAAATGTAATGTGTGAAGACTACACAGAAACATAGCTACATACCAGCTTTTAACACAAATATTAAGTCCTCAAATTCTTGAAGTTCTTCATCAGCGACCAATGAACCATTACTGTACCCTCCTGACGGGGTGTAAGCTGTACCATTTTGAGGGCTGTGCTTTTCCTGACTGCCAGACCGCTCCCAGTCTGTGGAAATCTGAAATATAGGAAAATTAACTCCAAATCAGCATTACACCATGGAAGAAATATACTTGCACCATAAAATGAGGAAGGCTTTTTAAAATATTTAGGCTGTTTAGGTTCATCTCACTTGTTGCTCTGGGTTCAAGCAACTGTGTTCCTAGTGATCCCTGTGCTCCCAGTTATCTTCTTCTGTGTTCCTGGAGATTTCCTGTGATTCCTAGTTCCCCTGTGCTTTCTTGGATCCCTGAGATTTCTGGTTTCCTCATGTACCCCTGTGGATTCCCTGCTTGGCTGTTTGCCTCCTTGCTGTTCCCAGTATCCCTGCTTACTCTGAGACCCCTGTGATTCCCCGTGGTATCATTGTGCATTCACCTTTGAGGTGTGAGTGGCTATATGTATCTGTCTGCTGATTGCTATACACTTGTGTGTGCCCTCTCTTCACTCCAGTCTGTCTGATTCCACTGTCTACCCTGCTTGTGCTGTATTCCCTGTATATCTGTTTCTGCATTATCCTTGCTAGTTCCTTCCTTGTGAGTATCTCTTTGTGTCAATCCCCACTCCCAGCGAGTCATCTCCTGTCTTCCTTCTGGCCTCTCCTTATGTGTTTCCTTATAGCTCACTTCTATGCTGTCCTGCACCTTCGTATAATGCATGTTCCTTGCGCTTATTCCTTTAGCCCTGTGTCTCCGTGTAGGCACATTTCCTGTGTGCGTTCCCCTGAGCAGTCCTGCCACTGTATCCTGTACCCCTGTGTATGCATCTTGCCTGCGTGCATCCTGCAACGCACACTCCGTATGTGTTCCCTGTGTGTACCTGTCACTAAGTCCATTACCCAAGTATTGTTCACATTGTAGCTGGTCAGTCCTGTCTGTGTGGGTGTGTTAGAGAGCCAAAACCTGGGAGCTGCCCTGCCTCACAATCATCCTCACCATCTGAGGCTCCGGAGAAGACGAGGCTTTCCTTAGACTCTGCACCTCTGCACACCCATGTTTTCTGTGCTTGCGATTGACACACTGTAACCTTGCACTTCCCAAGACCTGTATTCCTGCTCTGTTCCCAGTTCCGGACTGCTCTGCAAAATCCAGTGCTCACGGTTCCTAGTGTCCCGGTTCCCAGATCGTGATACTTCTGTTACCTTTGTCAAGCAGAAAATCATTTTCTATGCCCCTCTTTGATGTAGTTTCACTCTGTAACAGAGGCTTGACTTTCCATGACTTTATGGCTAAGTTCTACTACCTGTCACATCACTGTTTAATTAGAGTGCTGGCCACTGGGACAGTCTTATTGAACATGGGTGTATTAGCAGAGGTTAAATATAAAAACAAGAATAGTCTGTTGCCCTAAAGAATATCAATCTGAAATTAAAGAACAACACTTTTTTCCTATCTAAAAGGGTCACTTCAGGCACTTTGTGCTTTCATCTCTTAGAGAGAACCTTCATAAGTTTAAAATTCACTTAACCTGCACAAAGAGGAATTGAGGGCCCTTACTGCTCATCTGCTTATTGAAATGCGTGTTTTTGTAGCCAAGCTGACCCTCTGCCTTAAATACTTTCTGAATTACTTTCTCAGAACAAATCTGCAACAAATAATGTCAAAGTGTGGTTAAAACCAGTGGCAGACAAGGGGTTCCAGTAGAAGACCAATTTTTGAGCCCCCAAGATAAAGTTTAAGTCAAAACACATATACACTGTATTGTTGACAACTAAATAGAAGTGAGTAGTGTCCAAGTATATATGAATGTGCGAGGTGCCCTTGGTTAGTGTCTGAGAAACCATGATATCTAGGAAAAATAGTATTTACTGAAGGATGTAAACAATAGCACCACCCATAAACTTTAAGGACAGCTATCCTATAGGAATAGGAATAAGTGCTTATTAAGCATCTATTTAGATAAATGAACACCTCTTGCAATAAAGTAAAGATGCCTTAAACATCATGTAATTAATTTTACCTCTTCCATTGCACTAATGAGGTTCTGAGTGGATTTGCTGATCTCAGCTCCAGCTGGCGGCATCCCACTACTGGGTGTAAAAAAGGCAGAGGCTGGGCTTCTGTGTCCATCCGCCTCGATGCTGTAGCTAGCTTTAACCGGGCAGCACAGCTGATTGTGCATAATAAAGTAAACTACAAAGGCATAGAGACCCTGTTAAAGAAAGTAAAGTAAAAATAAAAAACATAAGTGTCAATTTCTAAGTTACAGGAATGCACAAATGTATCTCACGTATTAATAAGGTGGGCTTTGCTCAAAAGTACAGAAGATAGCGTAACCTCCATTTCTTTAAAAGAGAAAAAAAAACAAAACTATTTTTTGGCTTAGTTCTCTTTTGGGCCACAGGAGTACATTTACTAATGTAGTTCTGTATAACTGCCCGTTAAATGCCAACAGTGCAGAGCCGCTCTGCAGCAGGGAAGGATCCTGACAATATTGTTGGAATTCACCCCGCTACCTGATTGACAGCTGGCTCTGCCTCTCTAGAACCAGAACCAACTGTGCCTGCCCCCTTCACTGTCAGTCTCTTCAACGAGCACTGGAGGAATAGAGAGAGAGGAGGGGGGAATCCTTGTGGGGAGCAGTGACTGACAGTGGTCTGTGATTGCCCAGTTCTCGAGCTATAGTGCCGGTGTGTGACAGCTGCATTGTCACACGCTGGCTTAAAGAATTGGGAAGAGTATATTTTATTCTCCCAATAGTTCCCTTTTAATAACTATCAAAAAGAATTATATTAGCAAGCACATAAATCTTATTCAAATGCTTCTTCAGTATACCTTCAGAAGTGCTTTTGACCAATTAAACTACATAGATTATTTGTCATACTTAGCACTATTCTCTAAAATATGGAAGGCATATCATGTATATGGTACATAGCAACGTCAGGATTCTAATGCATGACAGATAATCTGCTCACACTAGTATCATCCACTAATAACAGGCAATACACTGAGCATGCCAATTAACTAGCAGGCATGGTATGTCTATTTCTAGGGGTTCCAGAATCAGTGTTAATTTCGTCGACTAATAATTTCCGTCATAGTTTTCGTCAACAACACTTTTTCAGTGACTAAAACTAAATAGAAACTAAGTTATGATGACTAAATCTATAACAAAAATATATTGACATTTTAGTCAACTAAAACTAGACAAAAATGTTAGGGAGAGACAATTTGGGAAGAGATCCAATCTCGAAATGATCTCTTTGGACTTCTAGTTCTGGTTCCATCCTGAAAGGATGGCTAATAGGCAATATGTGCAATGGCATTGCAGCCAATATAGTTTTTCATTTAATATTTTAGAGTTGAACTTCTACTTGAAAGAATGAAGAATGTCACATACACGTTGCTATAATCAATGCATAGCTAATTACTGGTCCTTTGTTGAAAATACTCAATAGTATTGTTTCTTTATAAGCCTTGTTTTAATCTAAGTTTAAGATAAATAAAGACATGCTATATATCACAACAGTTAAATCTCTGTCTGTATTGCATGTTCAAACCTTAATACCATAACTAATAACAAGTTACCAGATGTTTACTGCAGGAGTATATAATGAGATTGGAAATTCTCAAAAAATTCTTAAATTACTCTTTAACTAAACCCACTAGATTTTAGTAGACTTACAGGGTTAAGCACTAGAGGGTGAAGAGTTTGGAGAAGACAGAAGTGAACAATCTAGGACAACATAGCTGATTTGGAAAGTGAGCTGAATTGGAGGATTTTTCCAAATCAGCTATTTCGGCCTGGATTGTTAACTTCTTCACCCTTTTGTGAATAACCCTGTAAATCTACTGTGTATTTAGTTGACTAAAATCTTATGATATTTAGTAGACTAAAACTAGGCTAAAACTAAAACAATTCAGATGACTAAAATAGGACTAAAACTAAATTGAAATTTGCTGTCAAAATTAACACTGTCCAGAATAGTTCTAAGTGTTATGTCCTATTCTGACACTGGCATTTTCAGTGTTGACCTTCTTGGAACAGAAATAAGAGGAAAGCAAGCCAATAACGCAGAGATATACCAAGATGTTTAGAGTTTTTGGACAGGCCCCTTGACAGAGGCCGCACTGTGACAGCCAGAACAGCAAAAGCACTGATGTCTCAGTAAATGCAGGTGGTTTGTGAGTTATTTAAAATACAAGTGCTAGACAACTGGCAAATGTTTGGTGAGCATGGACCTAAATCATTGCCCACATTAAGCTGGTCATACATGTTAAGTTTAAGTTGCTAAAGCATATGCAATGTTAATGTTTAAATCTCCCATTATGTAAGTGGACCAGCTTGGGTAAGCATTCAGGTGAACAGGGCTGAAGCATCAGCATTAACATGCTGCACACGTTCATTTAGTATTGCTTAGCATGCTCTTCACAGAAATTGACATTTTTTTTTTACACTTTAGATGATATTAACATTTGTTACAACACTTTTACACAACACAACCATGCAAGCAGGGCTTGAGTTGGTCAAAAGTCTTCTTTGACTCATAGGGCTGAAATAGCTCTTAATTTTGCACCAAGTGTATCATACCCCCAAGTTTCCTTGCAAAATTGGCCTTTGTTCTGATTCATGTTGCGGTAAATACGGCTGACCCCGTGGCAATTTGATACATCTGCTTTGGCAGCAAAGGTGATTGATACCATTAATATGGTCATGGCTATTTTCCTGACTGTTGTCCCACCTGATGTATCCTTGGACATTAAGAATCATCCTACCTAGATGAATGTGCATCCTTGGTGATTGATAGTGTATTCTTTACTGCCCATAAGATGTCAGCTTTAAAATGGGTCTACTTCATATCCCCCTCTAAGGAGGAATGACTATAAGAAATAAGTAGATACAATGCATTTGAGAATCATACATATTTCCTTAAAACTTATGTGTACATTTAACTGCATATGAGCCCGCAGGATGTGATGGATCATAGTTGAATCCAATGTGTATGCGGAGGCCCTTTTGCGTCTTCTTACTTTTTGCTCAAAGGTCACTTTGTTGAGATGGCTGGTTAATGGCTGTTTTTGAGCTGTATATGACATGTTCATTTAATGTGTTTTTTTTTAATAAGGTGTGTCTTTGTATTATTATAAAAAAAACTTTTGGAAAAATAAAATCTGAAAAAAGGGTTCCTTGTATTTGGCCCTGCATGGCCAGCCTATGAGCACAACAGAAGCACAGCCCACACAAAGCCATACCCTAGAGCTGGCTTGATAAGCATGCATGGTGCAAGAGCTGTATAACATTGCATAAATATAAGGGCTACCCGGCTAGGTTTCATTTTCTAATGTTTAGAATCACTATAAAAAGAAATTAATTTTACCTGTGACTCCAACCACTTGCCTGACATTATAATAATATTTCTAACTCTACAATGACGAATGCACCAATTTCAGTTTAATTTGTTTACTATAACCACCTCATCAGTATGATATCTGCATTATATGTGTGTTTGTTTTATCAGAAACATTTCTGTGTAGAAGAATAGGTGCTTTATACTTAGAATCACCACTAAATACCATTCAGTCACAGCTAAGCTAGAGAATCCCCGAATACAATTTCCCTGCAGGCTGTGACAGTGTAAAGGGTGTGATTATTTTACAGGTACTTTCCATAGAGTAAAGTAATCCTTTGTAAGGACATAAGTAAAAGATCACTGCATAGATACAAAACAAGGTTATATTTGGATACACTGCGACAGCTCATGTAATGAAACAAAGAAAGATACGGGAAACTTTCCTCACAGGCAAAGTACAAGGGCTGTAAATACCCTGTCTGTAAATAGAACAATCTTATGAACCCTATCAATAGTTATCTACCAGGATACAAAAAGCAGCCATTTATTTAATTAGCTGAATACTTGCATGGTATAATGCAAAGATTGGTTTATGTATAACTTAAGCACACATAAATGTGGTAGATAAATGTATATAGAGTATTTACAGGACCCAGCTTTCTTTAAAAGGTCAGGGTACCCAGAACAAATATTTTTTTCTGCTGGTGGATTGGTTTGCTAAACATTGGTTTGCTAAATGACCTTCTGGCAATTTATATAACTCCGTGACTCCAGTGGCATGTTAGGAGGTCGTAGCTCTGTCTTCACACCTTTACTTCTCCTGCATTCTCTAATATGTTTGATAGATTAAATATCAGCAGGAGAAGTAAGAGCCCCCAAAATGGCCATTATAGGTGAGTGGAGAACTATGCTTCCATAGACACACACAGCCCTGCGGCAGGCCACGCCTCTCCTCTCCACCCAATAGTTTGACTGAGGGCAGAAGGAGCCTATGGCTCCTTCTGCCTTAATACTTACCTCTCAGGAGGAGTCCAAACTCCATTGTCTTTAAACAGTACAGTCTCTGGTAAACGCTTCAGCATTTTATACTCCTGGGAGTTTGAATTCCTGCTGCATTTGTGGTTACTCCCACTAGCGCCTACATTACTACTGAGTCCTATAGTGATGTAGGGGCTGGCAGAAGAAGGATTAAAAACAGCAGGTTTTGGACCCTATAAGCAATGGAGAGGTAAGTATTCAGAGTCTGTGCTCATGCTCCAATTGTGGATGTATCACAAGGAGGATTGGTGCAAGTAACGTACATAATAACCATACATGTCATGTATCGAGCATATGCTGCTCATTCACATTTTACCCCAATTACCCTGTGAGTGCCTGAAGGTAATTACAGGCTTGGGTATGGTATTGCTAACAGAATGCCGCATGGAACTGGGCAACTATGTTATGTCAGATATTATATTACATCTTTTCTTTTCTTTATTTGATTGAACACTTACCTGAAGGCTGTTGAAAATTATGAAGAGAACCAACATCCAAAGGTGTCTGTAAGCCACATGTAACCCACCCCAAAGCCAGGTTACAGATATAAGAGCAAACAAGTACAAGATCAGGGGTATCTCTGCAAAATAAACATACATATTTACTAGTCCTCCAACATGAAACTGTTTATCTAGTATGAACAAAACATCCTAGTTATGTACTACAATGAAAATATATTTAACTATGGTCTAGACCAGTGGTTCTCAACCTGTGTAACCACATTTGTCCTTGGTCATTAAGTTGCGACCCAAGTCACACTGCAATGGAACGCACGTCATTAGGGTACCGCACATTCCGGTCCAGGCGTACAAACTGTGGGTGGGAGGTACTTTTGGGGTACCATTCAAATGAATGGCAACGCAACACACCTCCCACACCAGAATGCGCGGTAGGCGCGATTGTGTGGTACAGTGCGATAATTGGCCTCAGCCTAGGGTCCAGTATGTGCTGCTGTGCTTTGACAGAGCTCAATCCATATGTGCATTGCTTGCAAGCCTTGTAGAGGTGCTGTGAGCCAGAATTTGACGTCACTCTGGTCCAGGCACCTCTATAGGACTTGTGAGGGACCTGTAAGAAATGCACATATAGATGGAGCTCTGTCAGAAACCATAACCCCAGCCCACCCCACCTTAAGCTGATACTGGGCTGCATATTGTGAATGGCTGCTTGGCACCAGCACTGACAGTGCTGCGCTTTGGGGAAGGCGGAGAAGCCTCTCACCTAGAAAAGTGGAAGGCACTCGGCGACCCTCTGAACACGGGGTCGCGGCCCACTTTTATGTCACTACCCACCAGTTGAGAACCAAGGCTCTACACTATTGGAGTTTGTCCCTAAAAAAAGTGGCTTAGGAACATCAGAGTGACACACAGGTCAAATAAATAATTTGTAGAGCTCTTCAGAAATATATTCCAAATGTTAAATATTTTAATCCATGCCAGATTTACAGCCAAACATTATCCCACATGCAGAGTTCTCATACTGTACAATTCCTACTATGCATAGTGACCCCACAATATAAATGTTAATGAGCTACTGATCTTAGTAATGGATATGACAAACCAGAGTTTTTTAACAATCTTTATGGGATAAGGAGATTCAATTATAGGATGATTATTATTGGTATTCTTTTCCTTAATGCTCTATTAAGAATGTGTGTGTTCCTGATTAATAAGAGACATATGTTGCCTTGCCTGCACAAAATAGACCATCTTTGTGCCTGTCATATGAAAATCTTCTAATAAATGTTTTAAGAAATAAGGACAACATATCTAGAGACATGAGGCAGCGGGTGGATCTTTTTATGAGCATGCATGCACAGGACTGATCCATACTGCATTAATTTCTATAATCATAGCTTCCAGTTCAGACATTTAACATCAGATGACCTTCACCTGACATCAGATGACATCACCTTCTATACCGTTTGTATAGAAGTCACACCCAAATAAAATGATAGCACTCTATAGTGTCTATAGATGAGGTGACCATATCACAATCTGGCTGAATTCAGTTGGATGCTCCGTGGCTGGTGGATTTTAGGAGACTAAAATCAGTTATCCCCCCACAATTTTTAAAAGAACAAGGCAAAGCTAAATAAAGCGTATAGTAAACATGCACCATTGGCCAATAAATATATACTTTTGCTGCTGTAGTCTCATGGTACATTAGTATATTCAGGTACCTCTCTGATGCTCTAAATGTTTATATTCAACTTAAATATTATTTTTAATAAACCTTATTTATTATTTATATATTTATTAAGGCACAGAGTAATATCCAAAGTTCATTAACACATACTAACCAATAAGAATTCCTCTTTCACTGATGTAACTGAACTACGCTAAAATGATATTGGTTGCTATTGATTACTTACCATTATTCAATAGACCTGGACATAGTTATAAATCTTATATCTGCATGATAAGTACTGTAAAATAATAGGTATAAAACTAGCTTGTAGGAATGTATAAAAGTGATAAACATGACATACTTATAAGGGAAGGCGTTTTCTATACTTTTGAATAGAATTTGCACATAAAATAGTAAAATATAGGTCTGGTAGCTGAATATGAATATGTTGTTATTATTAGACCGTTCAGCTGTCTGGCTTCCATTCTTAAAATATTTCTGATGAGGAAGAGCTTAGCAAGTCAGCAATGAAATCCCCGGCAAGGCTTGGCTGGACATTTAAGAATGTAGTCAACAACTAAAACATTTCCTGCTTATAAAGGTAGCGCTGACAATGACATACATAATAGGATTATGTAATGAGTAAACAGCACTCAGGCACCTATTTGTATAACTCAGGTACTGTATATGCTCTATATGATATAAACTTCAAGGTGATGCATGTCAATGATTACTGCTTAGGCAGTTAAACAGTGTTTGTACTAAGAAATATAAATTAGATAATATTACATTTAGTAACAGGTTTCTATCCGTTTGATATCCCCGCCCTGCTTTATATTGCAATGTGCAATAAATTATAGCAATTAAACTAAATTAATCTTTCAACAATCTGACTCCAGTAAATGTGAAGTAATAACTGAAGTCAGATAGTTGTGTCAAACGCATGTAATAGCAGGTACCTTAATGTGCCTTCACATTGGGCTAACTTTCCTACTGAGCACCCCATGGTGCCGTGGTATGCAAATATTGACCACCTGTCTGGGTTAAAAGTCAGGTACTAACCTTCCCACATCCTGGTATTCACTGTTGGCCAATTACTGTGATGGCAGTGACCAATAGCAAAGCCCAGGTAGCAGGAAGGGGTGAATCCAGTTTCTCAAGTAAGATAGTTGTGCAAAAATATCACACCAAATGTTGGATTCCGGGAGAGCCTGAATATATATATATAT